GGTGCTCACTGCAGCCTCCTGGGTTCAAGGGATCCTCTGTAGCTGGGACTACAGGCTTGAGTTCCCATGCCTGGCTAATTTTTTTATTTTTAGTAGACAGGAGGTATCCTTATGTTGGCCAGGCTAGTCTGGAACTCCTGAACTCAAGAGATCCTCCTGCCTTGGCCTCCCAAAGCATTGGGATTACAAGCATGAGTCACTGTGTCTGGCCTGATTTTGTACTTTGAGAGAATAAAATGCAGTATAACCGTAATTGTTTGGGGTATTTTGATTCTTACGTTATTTATTTATTTATTTATTTATTTCATTTTCTGAAAATATAGAGATGGGGTCTCACTATGTTGACCAGGCTGGTCTCTAACTCCTGGCTTCAAGAGATCCTCCCATCTCAGCCTCCCAAAGTATGAGGATTACAGACATGAGCCACTGCACCGGGCCAATGTTATTTAAACACTCTACTGAATGTCCTTCAATTTCTCTTAGACAATTTCTCCCTTGAAGTGTATAGGGAAAATGAAAGGAACTAGAATTCAAAGCAATCTAAATTCCATCTGGTTAATAGTTGTTTGATAAAAGCTCCACAGGGAACAAATGAAAACTATTGGCTGAAATTAGATATTGGTAATAGCTATAAATTTAAAACTTTTTTTCTATCCCAGTCATTCGGTAGCACATGATTTCTCTCTTTCTCTCTCTCTTTCTTTCTTTTTTTTTTTTCTCCGAGCCTCACTCTTGTTGCCCAGGCTAGAGTACCCTGGCACAATCTCAGCTCACAGCAACCTCTGCCTCTGAAGTTCAAGCGATTCTTCTGCCACAGTCTCCTGATTAACTGGGATTACAGGTGCCCACCACTGGCTAATTTTTGTATTTTTAGTAGAGACAGGGTTTCACCAGGTTGGCCAGGCTGGTCTCAAACTCCTGACCTCAGGTGATCCACCCATCTCGGTCTCCCAAAGTGCCAGGATTACAGGTGTGAGCCACCAGGCATGGCCTTGATTTATTTCTTAAAAGGCTTTATTAATCCTGACATAAAGAGATTAATGTCAAATTGGAGCTTGTTATATCCACAGTCAGTGTCAGGTGAAATTGTCATTTGAAGTCAAAGCTACCTTAAATACAGTCAAATATTGTGAAAATGATTTCTAAAACAAACAAAAATGTACTTGGTCACAGAAAGTTTAAAAAGAAAATTGCAGCCTCTAAACTTTGAATTCACTACCTACCTCTCTGGCTCGATGGAGCTGTGCTCGCTCAATCCTGGAGATGATATCCTTTACTGAGAATGGGATCTCAAGTTTAGGGAGCACCGAAGGACCAAGAACATTTTGGGGATCTCTTCTCATGATGGTGGAATCCTTGATGTATTTTTCTGATTCATGGTCATGGTCTATCTCATTTTGCATTTTGATAAACATTTTGAAAATGTGGGTGATTTCCTTTTATTTCTTCTTTTTCATAGAATCTAGGAAAATGGGAATAAAGATATTCAGTAGGAAGCTAAGAGGTCTTTTCTCCTCCCAGAAGTTGTGGCATACTCAGCTACTAATTGATGGCTACCATGGTATTCCAGTCCCGTTGATGTCACAATAGATCCATTGTGACATTATCATTGATCAAACATGTAAAGAGTGCTTACTATATGCAGAGAACTGGGCATTCTATATGCTGCCATGGTAGAAGGGTGAAGGGGGGATGGAGGGTAGGAAATAACAAGAACACTTAAATAAATAGAAGATATAGCCCTGCTTAAATTAGCTTAAAATCTTGGTGTGTCAAATGCAATTCCTGGCTCTTCTCTCTTCCTGGGCTTTTGCCTAGTCTTTTTTTTTTTTTTTTTTTTTTTGAGATGGAGTTTCACTCTTGTCGCCCAGGCTGGAGTGCAATGGCCTGATCTCAGCACACTGCAACCTCCCACTCTTGGGTTCAAGCAATTCTTCTGCCTCAGCCTCCCGAGTAACTGGGTTACAGGCGTGTACCACCCCGCCCAGCTAATTATTGCATTATTTGTAGAGATGGGGTCTCACCATGTCAGTCAGGCTGGTCTTGAACTCCTGAGCTCAGGTGATCTACCCATCTCAGCCTTCCAAAGTACTGGGATTACAGGCGTGAGCCACCACACCCGGCTACTTAAGTATTTTTAAACCTGTAATGGAATAAGGGTTTACAACTACTTCCTTAGGTGCCCCTTAACTTTTCCTAGACAAATGGTAACTTGGATGATATCATTTGGATGCAGATCATATTCTGCACTGCTTACTCTTTTTTCTTTTCTTTTCTTTCTTTTTTTTTTCCAAGACAGATTCTCATTCTGTCACCCAGGCTGGAATGCAGTGGAGCAATCTCAGCTCACTGCAACCTCTGCCTCTTGGGTTCAAGTGATTCTCCTGCCTCAGCCTCCCAAGAACTTGAGAATACAGGCATGCACCACCATGCCCAGCTAATTTTTTGTATCTTTAGTAGAGACAGGGTTTCACTGTGTTAGCCAGGATGGTCTCCATCTCCTGACCTTGTGATCCACCTGCCTCAGCCTCCCAAATAATTTTTTTTTTTAGATGGCGTCTTGCTCTGTCATCCAGGCTGGAGTGCAGTGGTACGATCTCAGCTCACTGCAACCTCTGCCTCTTGGGTTCAAGCAATTCTCCTGCCTCAACCTCCTGAGTTGCTGGGATTACAGGAGCACACCACCACACCTGGATAATTTTTGCATTTTTAGTAGAGACAGGGTTTCATCATGTTGGTCAGGCTGGTCTCAAACTCCTGATCTTGTGATCCTCCTGCCTTGGCCTCCCAAAGTGCAGGGATTACAGGTGTGAGCCACCTTGCCCAGCCTAATTTTTGTATTTTTAGTAGAGACAGTGTTTTACCATGTTGGCCAGGCTGGTCTTGAACTCCTGACCTCGGGTGATCCACCCATCTCAGTCTCCCAAAGTGCTGGGATTACAGGTGTGAGCCATATACCCAGCCAGGTGTATGCATTATTAATAATAAGCTATATAGTATAATTTTATAGCTTTTACATTCTATATAAATTATGGATGCAATTTCTTTTTTGTTTATTTATTTATTTATTTATTTTAAAGATGGGGTTTCACCATGATGGCTAGGCTGGTCTTGAACTCCCAACCTCAGGTGATACACCCACCTTGGCCTCCCAAACTGCTAGTATTACAGGTGTGAGCCACCGCACCCGGCCTGCAATTTCTTTATGTCTCTGCAAGAACTTCCTATGATGAGTCCTTGTAAACTTATTAGTCCTATGTTAAGTCCTTGTTGTAAATTTGTAAAATTAAACAATTTATGTGTTTCAGTCCTACAGAGAAAGGGAGGCTAGGAATCATTAAGTAACAGTCTTTTTTTTTTTTTTTTTTTCCTTTTCCTTTTTTAGATGGTGTATTGCTCTGTTGCCCAGGTTGGAGTGCAGTGGCGGGATCTCAGCTCACTGCAACCTCCGCCTTCCAGGTTCAAGCAGTTCTCCTGTCTCAGCCTCCCAAGTAGCTGGGATTACAGGCATCTGCCACCACACCTGGCTAATTATTTTGTAGTTTTAGTAGAGACAGGGTTTCACTACATTGACCAGGCTGGTCTCAAACTCCTAACCTCAAGTGATCCACCTGCCTCGGCCTCCTAAAGTGCTGGGATTACCGGTGTGAGCCACTGCACCCAGCCAAAGTAGTGTTTTTGTGTTTTGTTTTGTTTTTTGAGATGGACTTTCACTCTTGCTGCCCAGGCTGGAGTGCTGTGGAAGAATTTCAGCTCACTGTAACCTCTGCTTCCTGGGTTCTAGCAATTCTCCTTCCTCAGAGTCCCGAGTAACTGGGATTACAGGCATACATCACCACGCCTGGCTAATTTTTGTATTTTTAGTAGAGATGGGGTTTCACCATGTTGGCCAGGCTGGTCTCAAACTCCTGACTTCAGGTAATTCACCTGCCTTGGCTTCCCAAAGTGCTGGGATTACAGGCCCAGCATGTTGTCTTTTAAAGATATCAGTCAATATACAGAAAGCAAATTAAATATTTTTTCTTCCCTTTAACATCTCATTGACTAAATTGCTGCTGCCGCATGTTCTCAAATTACTTTTCGAACTTTCTATTATAGTACTTGCTTCACTGAGGTGTAACGGTAACTATTATTGGTCTCTATCCAGTAGTTCGTGAATATCTTTTTTTTTCCCCTAGACTGCTCAGCAGGAAGTTCGTGAATATCTTAACACCACATGCTGTGCTTTAATTTTGTTTTTCTCACATTTGGCATGTTCTTCATTAGGTCATCCACAGAAACTGTCTACAATTTGGATGTCCATTATAGTTTCTGCTGTCTCTTCTAATGGAAACTTTTCTTTTTTCTTTTTTTTTTTTTGAGATGAAGTCTTGCTGTGTCACTCAGGCTGGAGTGCATTGGCACAATCTCAGCTCATTGCAACCTCTGCCTCCTGGGTTCAAGCAATTCTCCTGCCTCAGACTCCGGAGTAGCTGGGATCACAGGCACCTGCCACCACACCTGGCTAATTTTTGTATTTTTAGCAGAGATGGGGTTTCACCATGTTGGCCAGGCTAGCGTCAAACTCCCAGCCTCAGGTGATTCGCCTGCCTCAGCGTCCCAAAGTGCTGGGATTACTGGTGTGAGCCACTGTGCCTGGCATACTTGGCTAATTATTTATATTTTTGGTAGATATGGGTGTTCACCCTGTTGGCCAGGCTGGTCTTGAACTACTGACCTTAAGTGATCCACCTGCCTCAGCCTCCCAAAGTGCTGGGATTACAGGTGTGAGCCACCATGCCCAGCTATAATGTTAGATTGTGACATCCTTAAATAAATTTTATGGCCGAGTGGGGTGGCTCATGCCTGTAATCCCAGCACTTTGGAAGGCAGAGGCAGGTGGATTACTTGAGGTCAGGAGTTCAAGACCAGCCTGGCCAACATGGTGAAACGCTGTCTCTACTAAAAATACAAAAATTAGCTGGGCATGGTGGTGGGCACTTGCGGTCCCAGCTACTTGGGAGGCTGAGGCAGGAGAATCACTTGAACCTGGGAGATGGAGGGTGCAGTGAGCTGAGATCATGCCACTGCACTCCAGCCTGAGTGACGAGAGGAACACCATCTCAAAAATAAATAAATAAATAAATAATTTTATTTGTCATGCATTGCTTACCCCAGTAGGCATTCACAAAGTAGCCTAAATGCTTGTCAACTACACTAACTGTGTGTTATTTCTCTCTCTCTCTCACTTGCATCTTTTTATGCAGCATGGAATTCATCAATCAGCAAGTGGACATGAAGGCATCTTAAAGTTAGTTTTTAAGTCCCACTTCCCTTTCAATCTGAGAAACATTTGTTGAAAAACTATGCAGCTGCCATTATCCTAAACTGAAGAATATAAACAAAAACAAAAACAAAAAACAGATAAAGAAAAAAATTTAAGATAGAATATAACAATCAAGTGCTAGAGGGACACGAAGAAATCTGTAGGAAGCAGAGTCTGTGAAAAACCTTATGGAGAGAGAAGGTTGATTGACAAATGGAGGCAATACAGGCAGGGAAGATACCTTGAGCCATGGCTTTGGAGGTGAGTGCTAATGAGTTTGTATCTTGGGCAGAAAGTAAGGAGATTGGTTTAATCACTGAGATAACCTAACTGGAGTTTACTGTGGACCAGATTAGTGGGTCTGAGATAGATTTCAGCAGTTTGGTGGTCGAATGAATTTGGTATCTGAGGAGATTCCATTTGCAGCAAAGCAAGGAAGATTACATGAGATCAGAATGGCAAGTCTTGAAATCAAGTAACAGCTGTTTTGTGAAAATGGAACCTTCACTTTAGGAAGATTTTAAAGATAATAGAATAGAAAAATCTATTGGAAAAATCAAGACATGATTATTTACTTATTCTTATTTATTTGTTTTTGAGACAAGAGTTTCGCTCCTGTTACCCAGATTGGAGTGCAATGGCACAATCTCAGCTCACTGCAACCTCTGCCTCCCAGGTTCAAGTGACTCTCCTGCCTCAGCCTCCCCAGTAGCTGGGATTGTAGTCATACGCCACCATAATTAGCTAATTTTGTATTTTTAGTAGAGACGGGATTTCTCCATTATGGTCAGGCTGGTCGCAAACTCTTGATCTCAGGTGATCTGCCCGCCTTGGTCCCGCAAAGTGCTAGGATTACAGGCGTGAGCTACCGAGAGCAGCCTATTTATTTTTAGAGACAGAGTCTTGCTCTGTTGCTCAGGCTGGAGTGTAGTGGCAGGATCTCTGCTCACTGCAACCTCTGCCTCCCAGGTTCAAGCAAATCTCCTGCCTCAGCCTCCTACGTAGCTGGGACAAAGGTGCATTCTGCCATGCCCCGCTAATTTTTTTTGTATTTTAGTAGAGACAGCGTTTCACCATGTTGCTCAGGCTGGTTTCAAACTCCTGAGCTCAGGCAATCCACCCACCTTGCCCTCCCAAAGTGCTAGGATTACAAGCATGATCCACAACTCCTGGCCAATTTTTATTTTTTATTATTATTATTATTATTATTTTTTTTTGAGACAGTGTCTCAGTCTATTGCCTGG